TTAACATGACCTGACGGACATTTATCTCCTACGAAGGAAGCTCGGTCCTCAAGGCTCACATTGACATTGGTACTGTTCGAATCTATATTTTGATTTGTTTTTGGAATATCCGTCGAGCTCTGCACCGGATCTTCTGCTGTTCTATTCGCCGGTTCAATGGTATTTGCTTCAACTTGGTTCATTTCTTCGTCGTTTTTAAACATCACTTTATCTTTATCCAAGGAGTTATTCTGCATATTTGATGAATTAATGTTTAAATGCGAGTTATTACTGAGTGTTGGGTAAGGATTTTTAGTTATTAAATGCGACAGGAAAATCCTTGGCGATGTCTGATCTTGATTCCGGCTTGCCTTCAAGTTGCGGTCTGGTCTTATATCTTGTGGTCGGATCGGATTATCCGAAGGCTGTGGATACACTGAGTCTAGTATATTTTCACTTTGTGTTCTGTAATTCTTCTTTTGTAAGGCTACGTTTTCACTAGAAGCGTTCACAGCTATAAGGGAACGCGTCACGATGATATCTCGACTACTTCTGTGACCAGGTAATAGTATACACAACAATATAAGGGCATCTAACTTATGCATGCTCGTAGGTTTTCCTTAAAGCCTGCTTAAAAATGCTAAGTCATTGGAAAAATTTTACTTTACTATGGAATAAATGAATAAGATGATAAAAATGTACTGTCGAGTAAACAAGTGCGCGTGTAATAAAGGATTGTTGCATTGAGACTGTGAGTTAACTTCACGCTTTTTGCACTTAAGGCCAACAATAAAACGTTGTTGTTACTAATGATGGTTTCGAAACTATTATACAATAATAGGAAGTGTCTCCTAATCATTACAATACATTCATACTTTGCTAATGTTGCAAATAATAAAAAACAAACGCTGTCATCTAAAACAAAACATATCCACCTAAATGAATAATTGCGTTAAGTCTCATTATTTTTTGTATTGTTCCTTCTTAAGGCATATTCATATTTGATAGTTTTTAATGGTTAGTATATTATGTAGAAAAAAAACCATTATTCTACAAGATTTTATCTTACACTATTACCGTGTAACAGACGTAAAACCATAAGAATTCTGTTCACATGGATTACTGTATAAAGTCGACGTGACTTGATCAATCTACCATAAGTATATGCAGAAATTAATGTACAATTAAAATGCATCGCGCAAATTCCTACGACATACAGGATAAAGTTTAAATATTTGTTTTTAAAATCATTCAAAGGCATGTATTGTCTCGTTTTGACAAACAATTAATGCTTATGACATATCTATTTATTGTAATGTTTTAATTAAAATAATTGTAATAAAGATAGTAGCCATTTTAAGAGGAAAGGAAATAAACAATTTATGTTGTATTGAACGGAAAATATTTTATGACGCAAATACGAGACATAAAACAATAACAATGATGTATGGTCTAAATAATTTGATGTCATTTGTAGCAATTTATAGCAAACCACAATCAGGAAGTCTTCTGAACTAAAATATTTTTTTGTCGTTTGTGGTTATGATATGATATTTATAATATAATATAATAAAATGGAGTGTCTCTATGTGATGCCTTTTTATATCTATCTGTCTGTCTGTCCGCAAGTCCGCGTATGTTTCGTTTAATCTACGGAACGGCTTGAACGAATGGCCGAAATTATAATGGAAAGTGATCGAATTAAGTAGAGTAACAACCATATTTAATATACATTTTAATAAACTTTGTGACCTGAAGAAACATTTTATTAGTTAGCCCCATGAGGACAATGTCGTGGGCAACAGCTAGTTTGTACTACAATGACAGTTTTAAAGAATTATATGTTTGCATATTATTGCTTAAATAATTTATTAGTTTGTCCAAACTCTCTCTGGATTTCTGCTTCGTAGCCTTTTGTATTTTTAATTCTTTATCAAGTCAAATGATATTTCGCATACCACTGCGGTCAAAGTCCTCTACACCTTCACACTACCAATTAAATTTAAAGAGCCTATTATAATGTCCAGTTTTCCTTATTACAGTCCAGTTAGAACACACTGTGTTCCTCGAGTGGGTTTCGATTTTTCCAAATATAATCCAGCGCTGGATTCCGACCCGCGACTAGAATAATACAAACTTTTTATAATATCTGATTCTGAGAAAGCGAAGATATCCGTTTTACGTATGTAGATGGAACTTTATGTTGTGTTTACACTTTAGATAACGCTATATATATGCATATAAGCAAATGCGCGTAGGGATAATTATATTATACTAAATATACAAGGTATCCTCGAATTTCATTGTTAAATCGTCTCTTTTTAACTAAAGTGAAAATTTATTTCACTTAGAGTATAAATTAACAGGATTTTTAATGAATAATTTATATTAATTAGGACGATGAGGATTAATAAGTATTTGAAGAAATAATATGCAATATTTATAATCGGTTAATGATGCGTTAACGTATTTGTACTATATATGTGTTATGTTACACTATTTATTTGAAACCGCAAGATAGTCTTGAACCGCAAGTGGCTGTAAATGCTCTTGTACTCAACACGTGTTCTGTGTCGTCACAGAAATTAATATTGTATTTTTAAAAGTTTTTATTGAGGCTTACCTGTCTCTGTAATTATGTCCGTAGAATGAGAAATAAAATGAAGCCATTAAGTATGTGTTAAAAGTTATTTTATATATTATTATAATCAAAATAAAAACTATGTGACGTATACAAACATTTTTTCATTGAATCCATTGCAAAAACGATCTCGGCCTAAGGACGTCTCATATGAGTTATGCACGTTTTTTAACTTACGAGAAAAATAAAGTACTTGAAATATTATAATAATATTGACATATCAAATTCTTTATTTAACCGAGTCTAATGTAAATATTACGGTAATGAAACAAGCTTCTATACCAGCTGCCGTGTTAACTAAGGGTAATTATACACGGACGGCTTCGAAGTCTTTAGTTGCAACTATCGTCGTTATCGACACTAAAAATGCTGCTGGTACTCGGTATACTTTTCAAATATCTTGGTCGCTCTTAACTTCGCACGAGTCGCTGCGCAAACACATTACAATATAGTGAGTCGTAGCGGGATGCAGTAGGAGGGCATTGTGCCGATGACCTTGAGCCGCCAAGATTTATGAAAAGAATAATATGGTCACTGACTATCTGTATACGGCGACCTTTATAACCAACACCTCTGTAAACCTCGATGATTATTTTATTCATATGTCATGACTTGACTAATTATTGCTTTGTCAGTAACAATGACTGAGGTATATTAAAGACAAACATCGAAAGTGGACAAAATCTTTGTTTTAAGCCAGCGGTTGTCCGCGAATTTATCAGCGTGAAATTAAAACAAAAAAAAATGAAAAAGTAGCTTCCAATATGCCCACACACATCCGCTGTATTCCAGTGAAAAACCTATCAATATCGGTAAAGCCGGGAATTCCCCGGAACAAACGTGGCTTGCGGACAAAAAGACAGAAATTTAACTCAACTAAGAGCCTTCGGAGTATTTCTTTTTTGCCTCATTTTTGTTCTCCGGATTAGATCTTACTTATTATAAATGCAAATGTTTGGATGGATGTTCGTTAGAAGGTATATCCAGTTCGGCTGCATCGATCTCGATAAAATTTAGCATAGACGGAGAACATAGCCTACTAATTAAGTTTTTATTCGATTCCGCGCGGCAGAAGTCGCGGGCGAAAGCTAGTATATACATATTAATATGTTATATTTTGCGGGCTAGATTAAGTTAACGTCGGATAGCAGTTCGTCTGTTCGTCTGTCAATTGATTCTCGGATAAGGATAGTATGACGACTTATACATAGTAATAAATTGTATATAATTGGAGTTTTCCCAGGTTATCAAGTATTTAGAGGTTTTCCACGAATACAAATATTAATTAAATTGTTTGTCCACCTTATTATAATATGAAATAAATCAAAATCACATTAATTTTCAGACATAACTTATTGGTAATTGGTTTTACCGGAGTTTATGCTTTTACAGTAATAAATACCTATAATTAATTTAGTAAGGAAATTCTGCTAATATGGGTACTTAATGTTCCTAAATCTTAGTTAGCATATTGGCCAGTTGCTATAATAATATCCTTACAAATAATGTTTAGCATTAATTTAAATTGTGTTGATTTTCCTTTTAAAACGAATTAATTTAAACGTTCATCAGGTGAATGCCCGTTTTCCTCGTGTAATATAAATAACACAATACAAATACAAGACAGTGCAAAGAGAGTATGGAAGACAGGTTGACAATAAATCTGCACCGTAAAATGGAAAGAAATAAAAGATGTAAATAAGTTAATTAATATATTTATTAATCTTTAAATCTAATATCGATAGCAAAGTCCTCTTCTGCTTCTTGAGGTTTCTTATCTGTTTCTCTTTTCGGTGCTGTGATGTTAGAGGCTGCTTCCCCTGTGTATATGTAATCACCCAGGGGAATGAATATTGGAGCGTCATCTTTTGTTTTCTCCGTAGTTTTCTCATTCTCTAACTGTTTATCAGTTTCTGTCACCGATATTGTAGATGTTGAAAATTCCGGTTGCGGTGTTGATGGTGATAGATCTTGGTTGTCACCATATATCGTACCGAATTCATTGTTAGGATTTCCGTTAACTGGCTTATTTCCATTTATAAAATTTTCGTTGTTGTTACCGTTGGGTTCTTTGAATTCATTATTTGGGTTGACGTAAGCAGGTTTATTACCGTAGTTTGGTTGATTTTGATTATTATTGTATCCATTATTGTTGGGGTAATTTTGATTGTTATCGTAACCTTGATTTTGTTGATTTGGATACCTTTGGTTGTAACCATTATTGTTATTATTATATCCTTGGTAATTATTATTCTGGTTGTCAGGATATCTCTGATTTTCGTTGTTGTATTGATTATTTACGTTAATTTCATTCTGATTTGGATTATTGTATCCTGGATTATATCCATTTTGATTGTGACCGTAGGGCCTTTTATTGAAATTAGGTTGCTGGTTTCCGTGTTGATGGGGTCTTTGTCCATGCGGTCTTTGTCCATTGTTATTATTGGGGGGACCAAATTCATTTGGTGGTCTAGTGTTGTCATAATGGGGTGGACGAAATTCGTTTGGTGGTCCGTAGTTGTTATTTTGGGGTGGCCCGAATTCATTTGGTGGTCCGTAGTTGTTATTTTGTGGTGGACCGAATTCGTTTGGTGGTCCGTAGTTGTTATTTGGAGGTCGACGGTATTCGTTTGGTGGTCCATAATTATTGTTATGGGGGGGACCGAATTCGTTAGGTGGTCTTTGGGGTGGTCCGTGTCCATAGCCAGGCCTTTGATTAAAACCTAAATGACTTTCGAAATTTAAGTTTATACCTTTGTTAAAAGTGCCTAATACCGCTCCGGCGACCTCGTGAACTTGTTCGTGTGCAGTTGACAAAATACCACCGAGTAGAGATAAACCACACTCACATTGTAGCACTGTCGCTAATAAAACTAAAAAACTGACTTTGTACATCATTTTTTCGTTAAACTCACTGAATTTAAAGGAAATAAAGGTTAATTGCACAACTCAATCACTGTTTGTCGTGTAGCACCACGCAACCAACTGAGACGGTCATGTCTATGTTTCGAGGTGTATTTTATGTGAAAAACCAGTTTGAACGTTTGATTCATCGCCTAAGAGTTTATTTGATAAAATTATATATCCGATACCATGTCCTGTTGTCCTCGGAGAAAGGAATAAATCATAACACGGCTGTCAGTTTGTGACTAAGTGAATGAATAATACAAGGGAAATAAATGTTATAGATCCGTTTTAAGTTTATTTTAAAATAAAAATGTTTTATGAAAAACATACATTATGTTGCGTAAATAAACGGCTAAGTCCGTGTGTTGTTTCTTGTTAAACACCATAACACCAATTAATTTAATCGCTCCGGACGTCTATACTATTGTAATCTCGGTTGTATTTTTCCTCATCATTTGGAAATATTATGGAAGCTTCTTCATTCTTATTCTTTTTATCGACGTCAGGAACTTGATTGAACGGTTGCTGCGTAGTTTGGATATTTTGCAAATCATATTTGTAGTAATCTTGAGGTCGACCGGATCCAATATCGCGACCCGCCGGCCCTGGGTACAAAATTATAAATATCGGACGGTCGTTATTCGCTTTGTTACCTTGAAGATGTGCTTTATATCGCTGAAGAAAGCGGGATTTGTTCAACGGGCTCAAATGGGATATATATCTGGCGTGCGGCTGGCCGTAATATGGCTTCACAAATGTTAAGCACATAAAAGAAATAGTTAATATTAGAATTTTCACGTTCATGATTTATTTTACGTTTAGACTTATAACTAAAACTTGTTCAAAACAAATGAGTCAAATTGTCTTCGACTTCCTCATATATCTTTTAAAATTAATTACTAATTAATAACAAGAACCATTAGGTGATTGCGTACTTTTGAATATTGTTTAAAAATAGAACTTATTTATTTGTTTTGAACGTTAGATTTATTTTCCTTACAAAGTTATGTCATTAATTAAACTCTTAAGAAATATTAATACGAACAGATATTCATTAAAAAATATTAGTAGAACATAGCTAATTGTTTTATTTACATTTCAACACACTTGCATAACTTAAATAACTCAGGCTTATGACTTTTACTCTGACTGCAAATCTATCAGTTAATGGTTATTTTACGAAATTTTTAAGTTTTGCGCGTTTAGTTTCATTACCAAACGTGGTGTACCGGTGTAGTGAACCGATTTCTTTTATATTATTAAGCGCCATCTATGAAAAGTCAGTTCAACTAAAATAATTAAATCGATAACAAGATGCATTGCCATACCGCTCCAGGAATTTAAATTTTAAAGACTTTGACATAATTAAAAATGTATTTAAATATATATGTATGGACCTAGATGGAGTATGCATCGTTAAATTTAAAATTAAAATTATACATTAGACACAACCAAGTGATACCAGTGTTGTTAAGAATGGCAACACTTTGCAATATTTGTTATTTATCTGTTAACAGATATTAGCTATTTTAACGACATCTGTTAACAAATAAAGGAAAACATAAAAACAAGTTTTAAAATATGTCCAAAAAATCTGGAATAAGATAGTAATCTATTAGTCAATCAGAATTGAAGGTACAACAAAATTCCTTTTTATCCTCAAATCTATTAAATGCACTTCGTTGAAATCGTTCGTTTTATATCAGTAATTTAATATCCTCGCAAAAATGAATTTCAATCAAGTTGGTGTTAGATATCTATGATGTATTCATAATTGCAGTACACAAATTATAGATATTTTGTAGAATTATTTTCCTTATCTGGGTGCAAGCTTTACAATCTTATAACCAGTTTAACGTCCTAGGGAGTGAAAAAATTGTGTACAACAAAATTTACAAAAGCATCAGTCGATTGCGCGTCTTTGGAAGATACTGGCAATAACTATTTTTAAATCGAATACCAGTCAGAAAAAATGGAAATAAAAGTTGTCGCTCTATTTTTACTTGTGTTAACGACCCAGTGTCAAGGACAATTTGGATCTATAGGCAATTTTCTATCGAACACATTTAATGAAATCAATAATAAAGTGAAAGAAGTGGCCGGTGTGATCATTGGAGGAATATCTAGTACACTTCATCTTAACCCTGATGATGAAAAGCAATCGAGTGACGGGACATCAGTAACACCAGAAATTATGTCTGTAGCACCATCATCAACTGCTGGTGACCTCAATGGACAGACTAATGAAAACAAAGACGGAAAGGTCACCAAAAACCCTGTTGACGTCAGACCAACGTTTGTTCCACTTGACATGACTACAGAAGATGATTTTCCCATTGATGTAAGATTTCAAAGTAAATGATAACAACAAGAGATAAGACTGTATGGAGCTCGTATTAAGTTAGCTACAATTTAGGCAAGACTTTTTTTTTTGTTTACCCTTGTTATCGGCCTGTGTCCACTGCTAGATACAGCATTTTCCTGGTCGTTCATTTAAATAATTGCTTATTAGTTTACAACTTATTTTTTTGTTTGTATTTGCGTTGTATAATATTAATAAATCAATTATAACTGAATGATCTGTTTTATTAAAAGAGATTGAGTGACATCGCAAGGTCGCAATACATGTGTCATGGTAGTGGAGTCCCAAAGACATACATGTCGAAGGAGATAAAAAGGTCGCTAAACAGTATGAGGAAATGTCAAATCAATTTGTGATATATTAAAATATTTTTAGAGATAAAATATAATAATTTTATAGCATTCTTTTATTTTTTAATTTTAATATACTACGTTTTTAATATGTTTTTCTATCAAACTAACATCAGAGTGATAATAATTCCATTTTCTAAGGTTTATTTATAGCATCTAATAATTTTTGACGGACGTAGCAAATATTATTTAAATACCAATGATTATTTGCTAAGAAAAAAATCTAGTTTTGTTTAAAGTTACTATAACTTTAGATAGAACTAGATTTTTAATGCAAACGCCTAATGTTTTAAGTAGCGCAATAAACTGTATACGAAAACGCTCTTAATAGAAATGGAATAAAGACAAGACAGAAAATCAAATCATTTAAGATTAAAATTTCAAAAGAATCACAAAAGCGCATTATACAGATTTTTAAAGCACTAAACGTTTTGCTTACAAAAGTTCCAACAAAATTATCCAATGGTTTACGAATATATAGAAGACTAACATAATATCATCATCAGCTCACTAAATGTCCCCACCGAGGGGCTCGGAGCCTACCCTAAGTTAGGGGTGACTAGGCCATAGTCAACCACGCTGACCAAGTGCGGGTTGGTTGACTTCACACATATCATTGAATTTCTTCATAATATACTTAGCTACTAATTATAGTAGAAGCTACGTTTAATAATTTTGAAAACTATTTTTACGTACATTTCAGAATTCCTAGACGTTTCAGACTTAATGACGATATGAGATGTCTGTATCGAAAAATAGTTAAAAAAACGCAATTTAAACGAAGCACATAACTCTAGAAATAAACAGGAATTACAAGAGTTTCAATATTCGATTTTTTTTAATGAAACTAGTTTCGTATAAAAAGAACGCGGTTTCTGAAATAGCATTAGGTTGTAAAACGATCTCGACTCGTTCGCTACTTTGGTAAAAACATAATTTAGTAAAAAATGAGAAAAGAAATAACTGTTTTATTTGTTTTGTTAGCAGTTTACCATTGTGAAGCAGCTATAGGTGATATATTCCAAATACCTCAGAAAATATTTACGGCTTTTACGGATGTATTTACTGGTGGTCAGTCAGGTGTACAAAATGAAAACCAAGGAGTAATAAAGCCACCGCAGAGGAGTGTTAATCAGAAAGTAGCAGACGAACAAGGCAGCAACAATTACAACCAGAATGTAAATCTAAATGATAACACAGGAGACGTGAATCTTCCGAGCACTGGTACAGCTACAAGACAAAACTACGGCAACTACACAAGCAGGACGTAATATGGATGTTATCGTAATACATTCTCATATGTTAATCAAACTTTTTAAAAACCTTTTTGTTAACTTTTTTTTGTTTTCCTTGTATTTATTACTTGTATAAATTCCAGAATTGCATTGTTTGGTCAATTTCTGAATAAAATATTATTTATTAAAGATTTATTTATTTATTTACAGTATAGAAGTTTTTTATGAATGAACTGACATATTATAGTTATTTTGTTATCTGTGGCCTTTTTATAAAAGTAAAAAAAAAATAGTTGTTTTAGTAATATTTCTATTTAAAAAAAATGATTAAGATTATGTTAGTGGCCGCTGTACGCTGACCACTTGAAGCACTAAGTATATTATAATTTTATACTTTTTCTCTTATTCGCTACGGAACAACAATGGGGCAGAACTAGTATATTGAAAACTAGCAGTAGGCCGAGATTTCGTCCGCGCGGAATTATAAATCTAGGAATGAAGGGGATACTGTAGCTTTTCAACAGTGATAGAATTTTTCAAATCTTTTCAGTCATTTCGGAGCTTCATCGTACTCATCTTTTGAGTTATTGCAAACATATAATCAATCTTTTCTCTTTATAATATTAACATAGACAAATCAAACAGCCTTGAAATTTTAGATATGAATAATTTATTAATATGATAAAAAAAACTTGCTTCTAAAGTGGCAACATTCAAATCATTAATAAATATTTATATAAAAATATTTCTAATATCTTTCCCTTGTAAAGCAACCTAAATGGGACTTAGAAACGGAAAAATAACACTAAAAATTTATACATTCATTAATAAATTCTTTTTACTTTTAATCATATATTCAATTAGGTACAAATATCCAATAATATTTTTGTATTTTTATAAAATATTTACAACCTAATTATTCCCTTATTTCTACATAGTACACTAACCGCCAATAGTTTGACTAAAATTACCATAATTGTTGTTCGTAGCCCGACCAAAACTGTTAAGGTTAAAGTCTCCCAAGTTGTCGTTTAAGTTAATATTTTGATTGAAATTTCCATCTCCCTGTTTGTCTGCAATTTTCTGTACAACATCTTGGTTTCCTCTTGATTGATTTTTTTTCAATGCTGATATCATTTTGCTGTCGAGCATTGGATTTGCGGTTCCATTCACAACACGTTGTTTAAAAGATATCTGAGTGCC